TATCGTGCTGTGGTGCGATGATCCGTGGCCTCTGCTCGGGCGGTCTTTAGACAAGCTAAACGAATAAACCCTAGGGATCCAGTCGTACCTTCTCAGGTACGGTGATGTGTTCGACATTGTTATGTAGGTGCCAAAACGTCGGGTCCAGTCGTACCGAACCTGACGTTCGGTACGAAAACGGATCCCTAGGGAAACAATGATAAACCCATCCTCTCAACCCATCCGGGTGCGAAACCGAAAGGTTCACATCCTGCATACGGCATACGATTGCTGAGAGATGAGGTTCTTCATATCCATATTCATCCTTCATGACCAAGTGAGCCGAGGTATGCTCAGATTCACCTCCTGCTCCCGAGTGACCAATTCCCCCGGTTTCACCCCGGTTGCGAGACCAACCTGGAAGATAGACCATTTGGAAGACGGTATTCTTACCAAAAATCCAGGGGTTCTTCATTCACTTAATGGTTAAGTGGTTCTAATCCAGGGCTTCTTAACAATCCAGGGGTTATAATGCTTCTTAGGTTCCTTGATCTTCTAGGGTGTCTCAACTGAAATCCGTCTGTGACAAGGGTGACTCAATCTTCTAGGGTGTCTTCTAAGGGTGTCTCCCACGGCACGGTGGTGGCAGTTTCCCACGGTGCCGACCATCGAAGACTAGGCTTACTGCACCAACACATGCGTACGACCCAAAAGCCAATGTAGAATCTTGATGATGAATGAAAACATCACATATTAAAGGGGGGAGGGTTATTAATCAAGGTTCTACATGAATCAAACAAACTATCAATCAAACTCATGAACACAGAAATTTGCAGGATCCAAGAAACGTCTGGCTTTGAAAACCTGCAGCCTCTAAGGCCTCTTGGAAAGCTTGCCGCGCCAGGCGCCCCTCCTGCACGTCGCGTGGGATCAAGGACGTCTTCTCGATCACAAACAAAGACCCCGGGGGATCCTCCCGCAAGCAACGCCGGGCACGGTCCAGCATGGCGCGCCGGAGCTGTGGGGTGGGCAAGAAGGATAAGACTAAGCTTAAAACCACCGCGTCGAAGGCTCCAGCCCGGAGGCTTTGAAGTTCACCATGTTCATCAACTTCATAGTCCTCACCTTCAAACCCTTCTCTCTCCTTGATCTCTAGCTGTAAAAAGTCTCCCCGCCACACGCCAGGTATAGCCGGCGCCAAATCAAGTGCCACTGACTTCTTCAAGTAGCTCAGAAAAGCGCCATAGCTGCTACCCACATCCAAAAGCCGAGCGTCCTCGCCTGCGCCCGTTTCATCCAACTCATCCAAGACCCACTGCACAGTGGCCTGGCTCCAACTCTTCGACCCAACCACCTTCGCACAGTTGGAATACATCTCCAACTCATCCTCCGTCAACCGCAGCTCCCCTCGCTCCCGCAACGCCCGGTGGATCCGTTCCTGTGCTTCGAACGCCTCCTTCGTGCACCGCTGGCGTGCCCGGAGCTGCCGCAGCTGCTCCGGTGACGAACCTTCTTCCGCGGCGGGACGCGGGTTGCGGAGGGCGTCCAACCAGAGCAGGCCCAGCTCACGCAGGCGTTGACCGGCACGGCGATGGGAGCACCGCTCGACCTCGCCGCACTCCGATGTGGAGGTGGCTTCGGCGCGAAGGCCTTCAGCGATGAGTTCTTCTTGAGCGACCTGCTCGAGGGCGCTGAGGTAGGGATGCACGTCGGTGATGTGAAGCTCACTGAGGCGTGCTTGGAAAAAGCTTCGGAGTCTGGGTGGCCAGGCATCGGACATGGAACACAGCGAAAAAGGGCGGCTAGGATTGATATCAGCACCCAAAATGGTGTCTTGCTGTAGTGCATAGCCTGCACTTCTTAATATGAAAATGACAGTGCTTAAAGTATGTACTGGTGGATTACCTTGAAATTCAACGGCACCACTATAGGCAAATAAAGGCAAATGACTTCTTCGTTGATGTCTGTGTTTTGTGTATTCAATTATTGGAAGGCTCGATGGGACAATGGCCGCAGCCCAAAAGAACCCTGATTTGCAGTCCCCAGAACTCATTTGACCACTGCTTTGGTAGGACACCACTGCTTTGATAGGGTTTTCATCAACCCCTTTCTCAAACGAATGTCCCATCTGAGAAGGTCACATCTTTTGGGTTGGTCCAAAAGTCACTCAATTGTTCAACATGTTTGAACCTCCTGACCTGTTGGACTCGCGATGAAACCGATGCCTCCTCACAGAGCGAAGTGCGTGCTCGCCCCGGGATGAAGCCGCGCCGCCGCGGCTTGGAGTCGCCATGTCCGTGCGGGAGGATCGATTCATGAAAAAGAAACCCTACCAGGCGCTATATAGACCCCCTGTCATAGATAGAAGTTCGTAGATCCCCACGTAGAAAATGTTTTGGACACCATGCAATCCTATTTGGGGACCACGATAAGGAGTGTCCAAGAATGGCCCAGTGGCCATTCGGGGTGTTCATGGGTGTGAAAAATTCACCTCTGTCACAGGGGGGCCTGGTGCAAGGTCAGGAACGGACCTCATCTGGAGTTGACCATGCAAAAATATGGCGAAAAGGATGTTGTCGGGGCCAAGTTTACTGAAACCAACTGGACCTCTAGGCAAGGATTAACTGTACTTTCCATCTGTTCTATCCGTCATTCCCACGTGTTGTGGGACAGCCGTAGACTCACAGGTCTAGTGGCTATGGTTGCAGTCATCTGTTCTTGTTGAGAGGGCCACATACTTTGTGGGTAGGCTGATGATACTGGTGACGTTCTTCAGACTTCTTCCATAACCGGTTCATCAACATGTCCACCAGTGAGGTCAGACCTGTCTGATCATGAGTGAGCATATGAACCAATCCAAAAACTTGACCCGTTTCCGTTTCCTAATTAATTAAGTTCTTTAATTGCAATATTCCCACCAAATCCACTCCAGGATGACGGTAAGTCACGTGCCAGTGCCATACAAAGACTGGCACCTACATTCCCGCATCATAGCCCTATGCAGGCTCTACAGGTCAAGGGTTCTCATCACCTTCCTGGGTCCCGGTCATGCAAAAACCCATATCTCAACGAAATCAAGGACCATGAACTTGCTCCTTGGACCGGTGGACTGGTAGGGTCCACCTCCTTGTTCACCCGTTTCGTGGAGGCCCAACTGCCGGTCCTTCCGATGCGGCGCCTGCCCGGAAAGCCGCTTGGCCCAGCTGCGGTGCTCCTGGCGACCCTGTGGGCTCCATGGGGGCTTGGCTCGGCCAGTGAAGAAGTGCCATGCTCTGTGAAAAAAAACACCTGAAAAAAACGCACCTGCTTCTCTTGGGTCTATCCGAGTCTAGCTGGGCCCAGTGGATGATGATGGGGCCGGGTGGCCCACAGTTCGGTTACACCTCTTCAGGCTTGGGGGGTTGGATTCATCAAGAGTCTACACCACATTGATCCCTAAGAATCATTGGACCCTCCTATGGAGGGTTTTGACCCTGCAGAACGCAGGGGTTTGGACCCAAATCTATGAAACGATGAGCATCCATGAGCGACGTCCAACATCTTATAACGTCTTATATCTTTCAACGACCTGTGCAGAGTGCTCTGCTGGAGGGTCGAGCAATCACAAGCACTGAACAATGGTCTTTCCGGCATTGCAGCCAGGATCATCAACATTGGTGCTTTACTATGTACCGGCGCTTTCCGGCACTGCAGCGGCTTGTGTCTTGCGCTTCTCAAGAGTGTCCGCAGCGTATGTTAATCTGCTTTGATGTGATCTGCGTCAGGATCAAGCATCTAGAGCCGACCGTGCCGCAGGAATCCCCGTGACATGTGGGCACACGCCATGCTTACATCCTGCCCAAACACCGCCGTCCACCAGTAGACGACACCCAAGCAGCCCAAAGGCAGGTGTTTGTCATGCAGCAAACGATCCTATACCGCCCCGAGCCAGATTCCAACGGCGAAGCGTTAGGAATTAGTACAACAAGTAGGGTCTTTGGCATTGATCCGCCAGAAGTTCTAGGGGGACCCAGTTCAATGAGTTCAGTAGTACGTTACTTTTTGCACATCGAAAAACGATCTGCGCATCACACAAAATCAATCGATTCGCTCATCTGCCCATCATGAAGTTGGTTGTGGAAACCACATTGACGTGCACAAAACATCTTTTGAAAAAAAAGATCGTTCAGGAAGGGTGAAGATCATACCGTTACGATCGTTTAGAAGGACATGTTGCAAAACAAGGGGCCATGGAAAAGAACCAAACCACTCGCAGGTCACGCAAAGCCCCCTTGTAAAACCATATGAATTCACCCCATGGAATAGGTGCCGCTCCGACCGGCACACCGCCACCGCGTGATGACAATCATGCCCGGAGTACCACCCGGAAGACCCTGTAGAGCTGACATGATCATCGACTCAACCATCACCAAGTTACAGCAACACCATGTTTCAAACCCATGTCGCCCGCCGACTGGAACACCAACTCACCCCCAAAAAAAAACCAGATCCGCACCGCCCAGTGTCACACCACACGCCACAGAGGAGAAAAAGTGCACACACCAACAAACACTCCATGGGACTGCCATATATGCCACCCCATTGGTGTTTGGCCCCCCCCGTGGCACCACCCCTGGCCGGAACTCTCGGCAGTCCGGCAGTCCCGTGGGAGTCGGGGCATGGTTACGACTGGAGGTACGAACGGATCGACCGCACCAGTCGAAAGATGAACCTGATGGTTCGGTCCTGACGAATGACCCGACGTGACTTTTTGGCACCTACATGTCGAAGAGTGTCGAAGACCTGACGTCCAACCTGAGGTTCGGCACGAAGACGGATCCCCAATGGGCACGGCGTTCGGAAGTTCGGAAGGAGGCCATCCCCACCGCGGGGGTTCCGCCCCCCAGTGCCGCAGCTGGAGCCACACCGCACTCCGACTGCTGGACGACCCTTTTCCACACCGCACTCCGAGCACTGGGACATACTGGGACCGCAGTTCTGCGGTGAACTCGCGTGGCATGGACCCACGGAGCGACGGACCGTCACGCGGTGTGGAACGCAGTGAGTAAGGCGATGAGTTCGTCTGAGCTTTGCAGGTGCGGTGGGCAGCTGCGCTCCTGGCGGAACTGCGCCGTTTCTGTTGGGCGTTGCAGTTCCGGCGTGCAAGTGGAAGGTCTTTTTGGTCTTAGTTACGACCCCTACAAGTCAAAGACCTCATTTTACTGGGAGATGGTCATACAAAACCACATTAAGGAGGTCAAGTCGACCAGGAGACTGGACCTGGGTCAGACTGGACTTGTCGGATTCCTAAAGACCATGGATTCAGGAGGTCCAGATCGTCCATCTGCACCTCTTTGGGGATGGCGCCATAGGCGAGTCGCTTCAGCCCTAGGGCTCCGTGGTCGTACCGAACCTGTGAGGACAGAGACGACACATGTGGACATGTAGGTCGAGGGTCCACCGAACCTGAGGTTCGAGACGAAAACGGATCCCTACCCTAAGAATCCGGACCCAAAGCAACACATAGGGTTTTGAGGGCCCAGACCCCTGCTATGGAGGGTCCGACCCCTGCCATGGAGAGCCCAAGAATTCTTAGGGTAGGGTCAGAAAGACCCGCGCCGCGAGGTCGACCTCGGCCTGCTCGGTCGATCTGTGTCATAGAGATCGTGTCGAGGGGATTGGCACTCTTTGGTGGCACAACGACAGTGGTGTCGGAGGAATTGGATGGCACAACCCCCAAGTTTGGTGGTTTATATATATAGACCCCCATCTGTCTAAGACATCTTTAGGTTTGTGCCATCGAACCTCTGAAACCACTGTAAAAGATATTAAACGATCACTCCCAGGCCTTGTCAAACGGAATATCATGGAATCGAGTGCCCATGCGTCTTTTTGCGACAAGAATTGCTCATTACATACCCCATGGGAGTCTCAAACAAAAAGAAGGGTCCTGAAAGGGAATGCCCCCGTACTTCACAAAGGAAAAGCATAGTACTTGGAGGGCGTACCTGGACCCGACTTCAAATACCCTAGAAAATGGGACATGACCCTTTCGCTACCCGGACCCTCCAAAGTACCTTAGAACATGGGACATGACGCCATACAAAAACAGGTACGACTGTACCCATTTTCCGAGGTACAAACTGAGACTCCAGATACTTAAGTGCACCCACTTTCCAAGAAACGAACGGGTCGACTCCAGGTAGTATACATACCCACTCCATGTATGGAATATTTACCGACATTGACCCCTCAAACCACGCCATGTATGTCAAAATGCTAGTCAAGACCTGCTCTTGTACCTGCTCTTCTTCGTGTTGTTCTATGACCAACTCCTGTATTCCATGAGGTCCGTTCCTGACCTTTAGGGTAAAAAGAGCATGCTAGCACATATGTTCCCAGTGCTGTGGGCAGGTGCTGTAGGGAAAATTCCGGTCCTGAGGCTAACCCCTCCCTATCCCCAAGGCCCTGGCCCATCTCCTCAGACCGGTGGAATTCGACCCCCCTGGCACCTCCCTCCCTAGGGATCCTCAAAACCTACATTCTCAGGTTCGGTACGACTGGACCCGACGTTTTGGCACCTACATAACAGTGTCGAACACATCACATCAATCACCGTACCTGAGAAGGTACTTGGATTCCTAGGGCCTCAACGCACCCAGATCGCCGCCTCGGCATCGAACTTCGTGAACTGCTGATGCCCTGCGGACGCGAGGTATCGTGCTGACGCGAACGATGTGCGGACGCACATCGGAACGGCACGACGCGTTAGACCAAAGGGAACAAACACCAATTATGATGATTCATATGAATTCAGGAATTCATATCATAAAACACAGTTGTCATGGAACAAATAACACACACAAAAACAATGAAATAGAACATACGATACAATCAATGACCAGCACCACCCCAAAACTGGGTGGTGATTGGAAGATATTGGAAGCAACATACCATCAGGAGTGTCATGGAGTGTCCATAAACAAGCCTTTCCGGGGTGCTAGCATACTGGATCTGCAATCATCAATGGATCTTTGATGATGATAGCAGTAAGTAGTTGGAGAAAGGCAACTTATATATATATATAACTTAGTTCTATGGGATAGATTCGTGTCTTTGTAGTAAGCACACTCCCTGAAGAAACACAATTGCTTCATATTCCCTAGGGATCCAAGTACCTTCTCAACAGGTGATTGGAGACACCGCTATGTAGGTTTGGAGGGTCCAATCACCTGCTGAGAAGGTACTTGGATCCCTAGGGATTGTTTCTTCCCTGCAGGATTGTTAAGGGAATGGATCCGAATGATTTTGTAGAGGTCACTTTTTACGGGTCAGTTGGAGCTCACACTACTCGTCTGCATAGGTGTTCAGGGCCAGGTTTGGACCTGGGGTAGTCCTCCACATGGTCCCACCAACATAGGCATCGGCTCGTAAGAGGTCGTTCAAACCCGTTCGACTGGACGCCCACCCCGCATTTTTTGGGCCGCGGGAGACCAGACCGCCGCATGGCCACGGCCTGTATCAAAGGCACAAAGTCTGGCCATCAGCAGCACCTGGCCAAGGTCCGCAGCAAAGATGTGCCAGGTATGTGGATCCATAGGGTGAAGATGTCAGTTTCATGCCACTAAAAATCCTCCAGGAACTGTTTTTGAATGATGGATTTCTGATGGTTGCCTAATGTTCATATCATCCTCTGAGTACCTACGACTGAACAACTGCTGCTATCCTCAAACCACTGCTGCTTGCTCAAGCTTGAGCTGTTCCTTTGCTGCCCTACAGCCAGTAGCACGAACAACTACAGTGGTTTCAGAGTAGATGGCTTACCCCCCTAAACTTCCAAACGTCTTTTGGACCTTTGGATGGGGATCCGGGGCAAAACAACACATACGGCACATACGTAACTTGGTCACTTGTGCCATCTACTCTGCCATCTACTCTCCATCCACTGGTCGGTTGCTGCTCATCTCTACCGATCTCATCACCTGCCTCCCGAGGCTGCAGAACTGCCGCGTCGCCTGACGTGCTGCCGCTTCGCCGTATACCGGACGTGCTGAGGTTCTTGCGTGTCCGGATGGGGGGGATTCAACCCCTAGGGCTCCGTTGGGCCGCCCCCTCCTGAAGTCTTTGGGGGTCGAACCATCTAACCTGAGGATATACCTAGACCCTCCCGAGGCAATAATTTTTGCCGTAGGCTGTTGAGGCAATAATTTTTGCCGTAACTCATTTTTTTCTGCCGTAGCTCAATCCCTGGAAAGTGAAAACGCCGTCAGAGAAGTGAAAACGCCGTCACAAAAGAAGAATCGCCGTTTTGTTTGATCTACCAAAGAGGATATTGTTTTGGTCCGTCCATACCCTGAAATTGCCTTCTCCTTTTTCACTTGTAAGTAGAGCTCATCGTTTTCAAGCCTCATGGTAGCACTTCTCAAGATGTTGCAGCCCTTGTCTAAGCTCTCGATTGACATCACGGCAGGATTTGTTCACATTTTGATCATGCAATGGCTGAAAGGATCGCTTGTGACAAGTCTTGCTGCCACCTTGAGTGACCCTAGACAGGGTAAGGGAACGACGCCGTAAGTAGGGGGAAAACGCCGTAAGTACGGGGAAAAACGCCGTAAGTACGGGGAAAAACGCCGCAAGTACGGGTAAGAACGCCGTAACTTTAAATGCAAAATCTTCTGCAACGCCGCACAAGAGGTCGAGTTACCCGCGAAAACCGACGAAAACCCAGCATGTGACACTTCCATCAGCTGCCCTTTCCACTTCACATGACTATGCGAGTTTGCTGATATAATAAGACGCCTTTTACGTTCAGTTGCCTTTCAAGCAAGACCCTACAATGTGTTCATACTCGCCTGCACTAAAACTAAAACGAAATGACTCTTTGAGGCGCATGGATGTGTGGACCAAAATTGCCGTCAACTGACCGAAACTGCCGCAGTTCATCAAGGAACGCCGTCCCTATGAGATCAATATGGAAGAACGCCGCAGAAAGAAAAAGGCGACGTTTCATGAAAACGGCAATTATTATTGCCGTAACGAAGTTCCAGGTATGGGGCGGGCCAGGAGCCGGATCACATTTTGGGGGGCCTATCTCAACTCAAAAACCTCATGAAATACTACTCAATGATTTATTCAGGACCAGGTTTGGATCTGGGTCAGACTGGACTTGTATACCTGAACCCGACGTACCTGGAGCCGTACCTGGAGCCCACTCAAAACAGGTACCCATCGTCCGTACCCATCGTCCGAGGTACGAACCAACTTCAGGTACCTAATCCTAGACACAACCCATGGGACTGCCATATATATATATATATATATGTCCCCCTCTTTCTTCTCAGTAGCCGCGCGCTCTTTTCTGGAGCGCCTC